TAACATACATAACATATCATGTAACCTTATAATAGAAATACTTATAAGTCATATCACTTAAAGCACATATATTTATAGTCACATTGCTTATATCTTAATCGTATGCCTTCTCTTAAACATATATATTCACATGTTCAGGTAATTCACCATTTCATCACATAATTGGGTATTCAAATAACTCATTTCATTTCATTTCATATCTATCTATATATATATATCCTCAAGATTATCCTAATATAAATCATATAGCACTCTTATATTCCGTATTCATCTAGGGCAGACTTATAAACATATTTCACTTCTATTATTTCTATATATAATCTAATCTGTTACTTAATTCAATTTCATATAGCTCTTATAATCTTCTCCTATAACTTCACAAATTTCCATCGTTCAACCCATGTGTTATAGTTTTATTTAAACCTATGAATCTTTCCCATCTAGCTTATCTTATACGTTCATCTTATCATTTATGTTCAAATCCCCTAGTTGGTGTACTATTTTCACTTCCTATAGATCAATATTATCCATTTTATTTCACTTATCATGTAAAAATATAATTATATTTTACTATGATCACATAGTTTATATCTCATACTTTGCTTTCTCATGTTCACCTATATCATGTCATATGGCTTATATCTTTCTCATGCAGTCACATAGTTCAGTTTCACATATGTATATATATATATATACCTTATATAGCACATACTTCTCATAACATTACATTCAAAAGCATGTCAACACATATATTCATGCCTACATACAATTCATGTCATTCATATACGTATAATCATATTCATGCATTCTAACATAGGAAATAGACTTGTCGCAAGTCTTGTTTCCATTTAGCACCATCAACTAACTAATATGCCTCACCTGGCCTCACTAGCCAATTCCAATCTCTTTCTTTCCCTTGATCGATCTTACTTGCCAAACGTTCCGGAATTTCTTTATGCGTAGAATCTACATAAATGTACATTTCGTGACAATCATTAGATACCTACACCTTCTAATTGGATACTAGCAACTTAAACGAACTTATTAAACCCATATACCCAATTTTCCTTTAGGGGGAATCGGTTCCCCCCTATGGGGGTATCGGTTCCCCCATGACATACTGGAAATTCTTGTTCGTTTGAAGGGGTATCGGTTCCCCTTGAATGGGTACCGATTCCCCTTGCCCAGAAATCATATTTTGAGCTCGAAAATCCTTCATTTTCAGCTCAACACATCATACTTCCTTCCCTTTAATATTCCTAACTTTCATACACATACTTAAACTCATTTCTACTCCATAATCCCTTCTTTAAACTCAAAATTCTATCTTCCATATAAGATTCAAAAAAATCATACCAAAATTCCAATGTGTTCTAATTCCAATTCTAACACTTCCTACCTCTTAATTAGCTTCTTGACAAGTCAAAAATCTGATTTAAACATCAAAAACTCATCCATATCAAAATTTCATCTAAAAACTCATTTTCCAAATCATTCTCTAATTCACTTATCTTGTTGCTTTAATGTCATATAAGCTTTCCTTTAGCTTATATAACATTCAAGCTTTCATTTCCAATCTTAACAATCAAAGAAACTACCAAGTTCAGTTTCTTACCTATAATTGCAAGCCCACGTTTGGAGGAGGAAGAGAAGAAAGTAAGGAAGAATGAAGAAGAAATGGGAGGTTCTGGAACCTAAAATCACACGTGATTCTCATATATCCCCTTAAAATTTTATTTTAATTAAAATTTCCTTACAAATGACCATTTGGTCCCTACCTCCATCTCATATTTACTAACCATACTTTTAAACTATATAATTATTCTACTTTAATCACCAAATTCTGAAACTTTACAATTTGGTCACTAACCCGGTATTGCGGATGTTACATTGGTGGTGCACACTTCCCATTGATTTTATAAGGCAGAATCTGAAGATGATTACATCAATGCTCAGGGTACAATCTTTCTCCAATGGAAGGCAAAAGAGGAGGATAATGAAAGACTTCTGAAGGTCAGTTTTCTTTGTAGTTCCTCATCTTCACCTGCTGTACTTTCCATTTTTGTTCCATTTGTCTAAGGATCCCTGTTTACTTGCTTCGACTCTTTGTTTTTTCTTAAAATATTCATGCCCAAATTTTGTGTTTGACATTTTTAGATAGAGATATAGAGGTGTGATTTTGTAATAACTAAATATATAGAAAAACTCAAAATTTAACACATCCATGTTTGATACTGGACACTTACACCAGCGTTTGAGAAATATAGGTGTTTGCTCCTGTTCCTGTGGGATTCTTTCTCTAAACGTTCAAATAATATAGTAAATGTTTTCTTTTTCTTGCTACCACTCCAATTCTGCTCCCATCTTCCTAAGCAATTGGAGCCTATTTCGATTATGTTAATACATATAATTATTATAATAATAAATAAAATTGCCCGTCCAGCTCAGTTGGTAGAGCGCAAGACTGTTAATCTTGTGGTCAGGGGATCTCGAGTCCCACGGTGGGCAATTCATAATTTTGACTGCTGGAGGTCTTCTATGGAAGCCGTTCTCAATCTGGCGTTGGGGGTAACCTATTACTTTATCTCCTCTTAACCCCATTACATACAAGAATATGATTAGTTAATTTAATTTATTATAATAATAAATAAATGCATTGAGATACACATCAATCACTATGTTAGGTCCTCGGCAAGTCGGCATGCATGGTCAATAAAGATGTTGGATAAACAATCGGAGTAGCGTATTCTAATTTTATAGATACATTTCATATCGGATAGTGAAAGAACCGGATAACCTTGTATTGGGGAATTATCTAAAAACATTGGATTTGTTCTTTTTATTGATATTATTCGTACAGTAGCAATATTTATTCATTATAGAATATCAGTACAACATATTATTCAAAATGGATATTTTTAAGAGCGAAATCATTTGACAAAATTAAACCGTGGTCAAATACCAAAGTATTTGTAGTTGAAAACATCCAAAAGCAACCGATAATAAACTAAATTCCATCAAAAAATGAATGCCGAACCCAGGGGACTTCCACAATCTTTCCATCGAAGTGTTTGCAGAGCTCATTAAAGCTCGAAAGTGAGGAGTAAGGACGACAAAAGCACAAACATCATCATGAGCCTCCTCGAGAGCACCATTGAGATGTTTTTTTTTCTCCTTTTTGAATAAAAGAGTATGATACGATAACTGGAAAAGCTACGAAAATCCCCTAGCTACTGCCATCCGAGTCTGGATGAAACACCACGGAGTAGCGGATCCTTACTAATCACCGCGAGTGCCTCCTTGCTGTCCGTTTCAATGAAGACATCCTTCATATTCATATCCCACGCAACTCGTAAGCCTTCATAAATGCCTTCACAGCTCTGCTTCAAGAGCCAAACAACACCCCACTGATTTGGAAAAACCGAGCACCCATCCTCCTAGAGAGTGGCGGAAGATGCCCCCACAAGTGGCCAAACCGGAATCTGTTCGTTGTACACCGTCTGTATTCGGCTTGATACACCCATTGGGAGGAGGTTCCCACTCTGCATTTCGGTTAATATGAGAACTACGGGTCAAGGTCTCACACAGCATTCGTTTACCTGTACGTAGAACACTTTAAAAAAGAGAGTCTCACACAGTTTTGCTCTCATTATCGACCAAGACCAAGGTGGTTGGCAACAACATCTTAATTAATCCAAAATTCCTTTTCCATAAGGTAGTGTTGGATTCCTACAGTAAGCTTTTCGGTGTCATTGCTAACATATCGAGTATTAGCATTAAAATGTAGACAATAATATGAAAAACCCGATGGCGAATTTGCAACATCGGAAGAAACTTACATTCTTGAAGATGAACTACGAATAATTTAAGTATTATATCGGTATGTTGTAATTTAAGTATTATATCGGTATGTTGATGTTTAGACATGGTCTGATTCCAAAGCTCAATGTAAAAGAACTACTAAAATATTTTAAGTATTATATCGAAATATATTTTTTAATATTTTATTTAGTTCAGTTTTATCAGAAAAAAATTAAAAGATCATAATAATTCCACTCAATTTAATTTTATTCTTTTTATATTAATTTTAAATTTTAATATTTTAGACTTTAGTTTTACGATTGTTTTGTTTATATGATTTTTGAACATTAGTAAAGTTTTATTTTACTATTTTAAATACAAATTAATTTTTATATTATAAAAATAAATTAAATAAAAAATAAAATTTGATCTGAATAATCATGATTTTAAAGGTTATAAATTATAAATCATTCAAATATTATAATTTTAGTGTATTTTTACTTTAATTTCTTTTTTTTCTTTACACAAATCTACCTTAATATATTTTTTATTATAGAATATTCAATATATTATTTTTTACAAATTTAATAAATACATTGAAGTTATGGGATGGAATGAAATAATGAATACATTGTTTGTATTTTTTAAGGTTAAACACATTTTTATTACGGATTAAGTTTAATTTCATGGTATTTTTTTTGTTACAACGAGAAAATTTCATGATATTTTTAGAGTTAGATTTTTTTTAATATTTTTTAAAGATCAAACACTTTTTTATATATTGTTTAATATTAAATTAAGTGGAGAAGAATGGTGATGAATGGTGAATAACAAGTTATTTGGGAGAACAATAAGCAATTTGAATAACGAATAAAAATTAAATTGACATAATTTTTAAATTTATTGAATTATTTTAAAATAGTATTAAATTGATAGAATCTATATTGGAGACTAAAACTATTATTATACCATATTTCAAGATCTATTTCATTTAAATTTTAATTGACTCGATTGTAACTTTTTAAAATGAAGTGACCTTTTTGTAATATTACTAATAGTTATGGGATCATATGGTAATATAATTAATAAGTAAGTGACCTAAGATGTATTTTACCCATGCATTTATCATGAGGCTTTCCGGGCCCTCTAAAATGAAAGCAGAAAATAAAATAAAAAAGAAAAGAAAAAACAACTCATTTTACTTTCTGGTTTTCAAGGAAACCCTACAGTTGATAGTAAATTTCTCTGCTACTTTTTTTTGGCAAACCCAGTGATTAATTTGCTGTTGTTAAAGTTCAATTTGACTAGACATTTTTTTGGACAATCTTATGTTGGTTGAAATTTCTCGTGCAGATTGTTTTGAGAAGGCGAAATCCCTAAGAAATTTGATTTGTTTAAGCATAGGATATGGTGAGTTCCCGACTCTTTTTTTTTAATCTTTCATTTTTAAATATAAACTGTGGATAGTTAGGGTTTAACGGTTCTTTTAGTTATAAAGTAAAACTGGGGGGCTGCCCCCATTTTATTCGTTATTATGCAAGAACCAACAGTCAAGTTGGATTACGGTTCATATATGAAATGTAATAGTTTTTAGTGACGAGGGGAATTGAGGTTTATACTCAAAATGTAATTTTTAATTATGTTGATTCTGTATTTGTTTTTGTTCAATGGACTTACTTCAGTGTTAATTGCAGTCTGATATCAGGAAATGGTTTATGAAAGCACACGATAAAGGAAAAGGCACTGTTAGTGCTTCAAAGCGGACAAATGCAGTAGAAACGGAAGCAGATTCTGTAAGTATATTTTTGTGTCTCATCTATCTTTGTTTCTTCCTGGATAAGATTTCATAATAGGTCACTATTCTTAGACTTGGTTTAATGTTGAGATTGTTTTGAATGAATTTCTTGCAATCTTAAGATTTTATTTAGGCTGTTTCATAATTCTGGGAAGGATTTCCGTGACTCATTCTACGCATAATGGGCTGGCTCCATGCGTTTAATCTTGTTTTCAAGAGGGAAATGAAAATGTAGAAAGCAATAGTGAGCAGATATGGATCTATACCTATTTGTTTCCCCATGCAATCATGAAGGTGTCTGTGGAACTTTGTCTTAAAAATTTATTTGTTAACATGATTTTTTCACAGTTCACTATTCTTAGACTTGGTTGTAATGTTGAGATTGATTTGAATTAATTTCATGTATTGCCATCTAAAGATTTTAGTTAGACTGTTTCATAATTTTGGGAAGAATTTCTGTGACTCATTCTATGCATAATGGGCTGGCCCCATGCATTTAACTCTTGTATTCCAGAGGAAGATGACAATGAAGAAAACATAAGGGAGCAGATATGGATCTATACCTATTGTTTCCCCTATGCAATCATGAAGATATCTGTGGAACTTGGTCTTAAATATTTATTTGTTAATATGATTTTCCCCCTTCTGCAATTATTCTAGGTACCTGGAGGCCAAGAAAATTCAGGCAGGAGGAGAACTAGCAAGTATTTTCCTGCAGAAAAGCAAAAGGTGAAAGATGGACAAGAAAATGAACTTCCAGCCAAGAGAAAAGTTCAAAGTGACAGTATTGAAAAAGCCCCACCTTCAAAGAAACCAAGCAAAGACGATGTTGATGATGATTTTGTTCTATCCAAATCTAAGAACTCTGTTGATGTCACTCCAAGTAAGAAACTGAAGTGTGGTTCAGGCAAGAGTGTTGCCCAAAAAGCTGTAGATATTGGTGAAAGTGATGAAGATGATGTTAAAGATTTGGCGTCTCCTGTAAAGTCAGGTGGAAAGAGTCTTGGTGGCAGGAGTTCCACAAAAGGCCCAGCTAACGGAAGAGGCAAAGTTGGTGATATTGACCTAAGCGATGAAGACGATGTTAAAGATTTGGAGTCTTCCATAAAGTCGGGTGGAGGGGGTCGTGGTGGCAGGGGTGCGTCAACAGGATCAGCTAGTGGAAGAGGAAGAGGTGGTGGACGAGGTGGATTTATGAATTTTGGACAAAGGAAAGACCCTCCACATAAAGGAGAGAAGGTGAAGATATAAAAGAAATTTCTGATTTAATTATTACAGGGGATCTACAAGTCTTGGTAACACTGAATTTCTGTAATGTCAGGAAGTCCCTGAAGGCGCTCATGATTGCTTAACTGGTCTAACTTTTGTAATTAGTGGAACACTTGACAGGTATTGCATTTGTTACGGGTATTGGTTTGTAAGTATTTATACCCATTTCTGTTCTGTGGAAAACTATTCTTGATGCACATACACATCTCTGAGCAGCATTGACCAATAAGCCACAGTTTTCTAGGAAGGTTATTAATACCATGATATTTCTTGTGATTATTATTTTTTTGATAGGAATAGGAGGTCTCGTTAAAAACCTCCGTCATCGTTGCCTCTTAAAAAGAGGCAACAAGCTGAAGGAGGAAAAGAGTACCTCAATTTTATTAATAAACCGAATTACATAAGATACACTTTACACTAACAAAACCTAACAGAAACACAACATAACAACGATGACACTCAAAGCGTTCAACCTATCCCCTCCTTAGCTAGCTTATCCGCCTCACAATTGCAGCTCCTAGGGACCTATCTAACCAAAATGTCCTTTGCAGAAACTAGGGCAGCAATGTCCCCGACCAAAGACCTGAAAAAAGAGGGGTTCAAAATAGGCCTCAAGATCCAATCCACAACCGTAGAACAATCACTCTCTAACACTAATCTACCTTTCCCCGCCCAATGAGAAGACAGAAAAACAACAATACCCTCTTTGATTGCTTTCAACTCCGCAAACAAGGGCGGACCAGGACCCACGGCAGTAGAGAAGGAGATAAGCTTAGTGCCGTTCGAGTATCTCAAAATTCCCCCTATTCCTTCTTGTGATTATTATTGTATGTTCTTTTTTTATTAAATGCTTATGGATGATTTCCCTTGATGTTATTGGTTCTTCGTGGCCCCATAATCATTGAACCTCGACCTTGCAGTTTGGAAAGACAAGAAGCAGAGGACTTAATCAAACGCCATGGTGGTCGCATTACTGGATCTGTCAGCAAGAAAACGGTTATTCCACACATCTACCTGATAATACCTTAATTTCCTGTCACAATATTTGAGGGTGGTTAACATTTTTCATCTGCAGAATTATCTTTTGTGTGATGAAGATATTGGAGGTCGAAAGTCCTCTAAAGCCAAAGAGTTTGGGTTTGTTTTCTGACTCGTTTGAAAATTAGTTTGTGTGTTATAATTGTCATGCTACTCATGTTTATGCTTGGCTTCTATTTCTTATTGTAGCACTAAATTTCTTACTGAGGATGGATTGTTTGACATGATCCGTGCTTCAAATCATGGAAAGCTCCATTGAAAGGACAGTCAAACAAATCTGCGGCCACTGACACCCTCCTCTACCTAAGAAGAGTCCCCAGAAAGCAGAAGTGAAAAGTATGCCCTATAATCTATGCATCTTGCTTCTGGTCATCTGGTGCATTATTTGAGTGGTCAACTACATATAGTAGTATATGTGTTTGGTGTGGTATGAGTATGACTCACTAGAAATGGGACTTGCTAAAAGACTTATTTTTGCCATCAAAAAAAATATAATTCAGGTTGATGAATTGTCTCTGTTAAATACTATTTTACGGTGTCTAGCATACATTCTACAGGTCATGAGTGGTCTTTTCATTAATTATGGAGTTTGGTGCTTGATATCAGTTTGATGCTACTATTTCTGAATATTGTCTTCCTTTTTTTTTGATAAAAAATAGGAGGTCTCGTTAAAACCCCCCTTCATATTTTTGATTTTGAATATTGTCTTCCTGTGTATATCTTTCAGTGAATTGTGTATATAGTTGCATTCGCATGGATGGACTCTGAATGCCTTTAATTTTATTTAAATGCATTGTCTTAACTTTTTGCTTCTTGCTTTGGCAACTTTTCATCAGCAGCACTAACCAAATGTACAAGTGCAAGTGTCCCATCTGCCAAGAAAGGAGGGCAACTGCTCCAGCGTTCTTCTCTGCCATGGACTGAAAAATATAGACCAAAAGTTCCAAATGAGATCACTGGGAACCAATCACTGGTATGGGTGTCTATCTTCCATTCTTTGTTATTATACTATTTTACCTCAATGTTAAGGATGCTTGAAGTCCTCTATATAGCCCGAGACGGAAGGCCCCCGAGTAAAATAAGGCACATATATATTATATGTCATATACATATAATGTTTATGAAAAATTATGTAATACATAATAATAAATAAAAAAACTAGTTAAGATAGAATTTTATATGATCTATTAAGTAAATTCAAATTATTGTTCGGAATAATTACTGAAAAATATTATGGTAAAAAATAAAAAAATATAGAGGTAAAGCATTTAAAAGAACCAATAGTAGAATAGACTGAATAATAATTAAAAAAGTATACATCAGGCTTGAGCTTTTAAGGGAGGTAGAAGTTTTGAGTTTTTATGATTTAATAAAAAATTGGTATTTTAAACAACTAGTAGCCAGTAGGTTTATAATTAATAAAATAAAATAAAAATTATGATATTTTGAGTTTTAAACTTTTATATATAATTAATAAAATCTATACTATATTTTAAAAGTTGTCTCCCTTTGTTTTAATTATTTGCCACCTAAGCAATGTAATTAAACTGTGATTTTGCCTTTACTTGGAAAGATTTTATTTGCATAGTAAGAAAAAACAGGTCTCAATATATTAGACAAATAATTAATGTATTTAAATTCATACTTGGGATAATTTGGGTGAATCACTCATGTTATTTTTATTTTATATTTTATTTTATCTTTTTTCTCATTACAATGGGATTGGTCAATTTATAATTTGAAGCAATTAATGTATTTAAATTCATACTTGGGATAATTTGGGTGAATCACTCATGTTATTTTTATTTTATATTTTATTTTATCTTTTTTCTCATTACAATGGGATTGGTCAATTTATAATTTGAAGCAGTTTTCTATTAGACAACTACTCAATGTCTTTGGGCTCATGTCTGAGAATAATTTGGTAAATAACTCACATTATTTATATTTATATTTTCTTTTATCGTTTTTCTCATTAAAAATTGTTTATATATATATATATATATATATATATATACTTGTATTTATATCGTGTTATAATTGTATTTAAAAGGTTATATCCAAGTCATATTCATATTCATTAAAATTTATTTTATGTAAATTTTTTACAAAGTCATATATTGATGATATATTCAAAATATTTTCATTTTGTGTCGACATATTCATATTTTTCCATGTTATGTCATATCCAAGTCGTTTTTATGCTGATTTTGTATAATTATAGTTTTCATAAAAAAAGAAATTTAAAATTTTTCATATATTAATTGAAAGTTAAAAGTGAATAATTAAATATTTTAAAACTATAAATTGATTTACTTAAAAATTGAATCATTCTGTCATATATTAATTAATTTTTTTTCATAAAAAATTAACTAATATATTTGAAATTTTAATATGATTTTCCGAAGTATAACTATGAACATTCTTGTAAAAGTTAAAAGTGGACATCAGGAGACAATGGTATTCGAGGTTTAAAAAAAAGAAGAAACCTAAAAGATAAAACCGGCTGTAGTGGATATTTGAGTTTTAAAATGAAAAAGGAAAGCTTAAGAAATAACACCACTGCCACAATTTTATTCAAAGAAGAAAGAAAGCAGATAGATAGAGTTTGAGTTTTGAAATCTAAAAGCCCATTCAGTGGGTTTGAGTTTTGAAGAAAAAGAACCCCCCCCAACCCAACAAAAAAAAGAGGAAAAAAAGTTGGCCAAAATTCACTGCTACATCAAGCTGGCTTTTCTGTTGCTTAGTGATGAACTCAAAGTGCAATAAAGTGTGAACAGGCTAGTGCCCAATCAAATAGCCACGCCTGGGAAGGCAAAATCTTTTTTTTTTTGCATCACCTAGGTTCCTAGGTGAGCGCCTTAACAACACTGTTATGTTATAATTTCTATCTTCAAAGGGCTAGTAGCCATATTGCTTACTTGTGCAGACATATCTGATGCTTCAAAGTGGCTGTTAATATGGGGTTTTGACTTACAAATATGAAGAAAAAGTTGGAAAGTATTGAATGCATCCATGTTGGACACAAATCTATGTCCAAGAGTCCCGAGATTGAGCAACTTATCATATCGTAGAAGTGTTATCACTATGATCTCTCTGTCATGGATGCAGGTTAAACAACTCCATGATTGGCTGGCACAATGGGACAGGCAATTTCTTGGTATTGGAAGCAAGGGAAAGGGCAAAAAGCAAAACGACCCTGGTGCTAAAAAGGCTGTTCTCTTAAGTGGAACACCTGGAATTGGGAAAACTACATCAGCAAAGTTGGTCAGTCAGATGCTGGGTTTCCAGACCATTGAGGTGGACTCCATTTTACCAAAAGAAATCTTGATTATTAATATACATTCTAATTAGACGGCTGAAAGCTTATATGTCTGTCTTGCTGTCTAATTCTGTATGTGTCATATAGGTAAATGCTAGTGATAGTCGTGGAAAGGCCGATGCCAATATTTCTAAAGGAATTGGTGGAAGCAATGCAAATTCCATAAAGGAACTAGTTAGCAATACAGCTTTGGGTTTTAATATGGACCGGTTTGTTTTTGTGCATCGGTGCTGCATAGGAAATCTATAAACCCTTTTCAATTATTTCTCACTCAATCTTCTAATGGAAATTGCAGTTTAAAACATCCAAAGACTGTCCTGATTATGGATGAGGTGGATGGCATGTCTGCTGGTGATAGAGGTGGGATAGCTGATCTTATTGCTAGCATAAAGATTTCCAAAATCCCAATCATTTGCATCTGTAATGACCGCTACAGTCAGAAATTGAGGAGTCTTGTAAACTACTGTTTGCTTCTCAGTTACCGTAAACCTACAAAACAGCAGGTAATAGTTGTTATTGTTTTTATAGCTGTTTCTTTTAATTACTGTCTATCTATCTTTTGTTCTGTGGGACCAATATACACTGAATTTTACTGAAATTAGTACAATCCTATGTTTTATCTTGCTGACAGAACTGACTTCTTTAATGATTTCAGCCATACTGGTCTTGGCCATGATGGATGAAACATTATTATGAGCCTGCCAACACAAAAAATCACATCTGAATACTGAATCAGAGATTCAGCTTCGAATCTAAATTATCTCTTCATTTTTCCAAGTCAGTTGTGTAGTGTAACAGATTTAAAATTATGCAATTGTTGAAACTCAAGATTGAATATATATATATATATATATATATGTGTGTGCATTTTATCTTGGATCTTGAAGTGCTCAGAATCTTACTTTATGAAGAATTGTTTGAAGAAGAATGTATCATGCCTTAGTTTAGAGATATATCTACTGTTCCGAGTTTAGAGTAGCATGACTCTAATTATCCTCTTCTCTGGAACCAAGATAGAGGACATATAGATTGGGGAGACGTTAATTGTGTTTCTGTTGTATGCTTATGGAATGAAAATCATTCTATTTCAAAGAAGATAGTTAGACAATGATTTGATCTTGCAATGATACTAAATTAGGCGTTAGTGAGAGAAGCTCCACCTTCTCTCTAAAAATTAGACGTTTTCAAAAAATCTTTTTTTTTTTTGATAGGAATAGGAGGTTTCATTAAAAACCTCCCTCATAGTTGCCTCTTGAGAAGAGGCAACTAGCGGAAGGAGGAAAAGAGTACCCCAATATATTAATAAACCAGAATTACATACAACTATAATTTACACCCGAAATAAAATACCAAACATAACCACTAACACTAAGGACATTCAACCTATCCCCTCCTTAGCTAACTTGTCTGCCTCCCAATTACAAGCCTTAGGGATCAGCCTAACCATAATATCCCTACCAGAAATTACCTCCCCAATTTCCCGAACCAAAGAACTGAAGAACGAAGGAGCCTCAGAAGGCCTGAAAATCCAATCAACTGCAGTTTTACAATCACTTTCGAGAATAAGTCTTCCCTTCAACGCCCAATTCGAATGTAGAAATAGATCAATTCCTTCTTTAATGGCTTTCAACTCAGCAAACATAGAAGGACCAGGTCCGATAGGCTTAGAGAAATAGATCACGGTAGAGCCATTCGAATCTCTCAACAGACCTCTAATTCCACCCTGCAAACCATCACTTCTAACAGCCCCATCCACATTGAATTTATAAAAATTAGGTGGAGGTGGATACCAGCACAGATCCTTCTTCTTCTTGTGCAAATTAACTGCTAAACCATCTGCAAGCCTTGGATCTCCTATTAATAAATCTACCTGGATGTTAGCTTTAGGAAATTTAGGTAGAAACCATTTGGCCAACCTGAATCTGCAAATGAAGAACAGTGCAGATCTCTCAAAATTCCATTTTTCAAACACCACTAAGTTCCTAGCCTTCCAAATCGACCACATAACAACACCCGGGATGAAATTCCAAATAGAAGAAGAAGCCTTCAAAACAGACCATGAACTAAGTAAAGACGGGGGATCTTTGGGTAGAATAGTATTAACCTCCCATAAATTGATGAACAAGTTCCACAACTCCCAAGCAACAGTACAAAACATAAATAAATGGGGAATTGTTTCTTCCTCCTTTTGGCATAGAGGACATAATAACTCTTCCAAAGGAACACCTCTTTTCTTCAATTCCACTCTAACAGCTAATTTTTGATGAGATAATTGCCATAAAAATGTTTCAACTTTTGGGGGAGCTAATCCAGACCAAACCCATTTCTTCCACTGAAAATTTCCTCCAGAGCTACGAATAAGAGCTGATCTACAGGCCTTAACTGAGAACAAACCATCTCCACTCCCTGACCAAGTTAGAAAATCATCAACAGTATCAATCAAAACAATATTATCAATCAAAGTCATTAGAGATATCCATTGATCCAATTCCCAATCGCATAAATTTCTCCTTAGACAAATATTCCAACTCCAACAATTATTATCATAACGGCCAAAGTCCACAACTTTCCCCGTTTTGTTAATCGATAAAGCATAAATCCTAGGAAATTGTTCTTTTAAGGTGAAATTATTTGTCCAAATGTCATTCCAGAATTCGATTGATCTACCATTCCCCACTTGGATCTTGGAATTGGACCTCAAACAATTCCCAATATCGTCATTTTTCTCATAATTATTCACAATTCCCCTCCATATCCATGAATCTTGCGGGTTAACAGCCTTATTAATTGCAAGAGACAAATTACTAATATTGTGCTTGCAACATATCATCTTCTTCCACTGAGAATGTTTATCATTAGCAAACTTCCAAACCCACTTCCCCAGAAGCACTCTATTCGCCATCGACAAATCCAGGACACCCAAACCACCCTCCTCATACGGTTGACACACAATTTTCCAATTCACCCAATGAATCCGCTTCTTCAAGGGATCGTCCCCCCAAAGGAATTTAGCCATAAGAGAATTCAACTTTTGGTTAGTCTTTAGAGGGATTTTGAAAATAGAGAGGAAGAAAATTGGCAAGGACGACAAAACAGACTTCACTAATTCAAAAAATTTCTTTCTTTATCCCTTTTCATATCTCTTAGATGGCGAGTCAGGTGAGAAGATCTGTTGGGAAAAATTGCGTTACAGTGATCATTTTCAATATTCTAGAGTGTCTTCATCACCAAGGTCTTTGGTTATTATTCGATAAATATGATGAGGTGGTTGATTCTTTCATCCCTAAAAAAAGAAGCAAGGGAGGTAGTAGGTTTAGTTTTGTTCGCTTCACCAGATTGGAGGACGCGAGGAAGGTTATCAACTGTGCTGATAGATCTTGGATTCAAGGTATTAAAGTTAGAGTTTTCATGGCGAGATTTCAACCTCGTGAAGAATTCTGGAGAAAGAAGTTTTCTGGTCCAAAACCAGCTGAGGTCAAGAATAAAGTGGAGGATGATTCTCACTCAGAGGATCCCATTTTCGGTGTTGTTGGCGAGGATAAGCTCTTAACTCTCAGATATAGCTTGGTAGGTTGGTGCAGATTTTTTTTCAAATTGAAAGAGTTGGTTGCTCTTATGCACAAGGAAGGCATATTAGGTCTGAAAATTATGAGTTTAAGTGGTTTAGCAATTTTAATCATTTTTGAAGATGAAGAGAGTAGGGATTATGCTCTTAATAATCAGATTGGGGCGTTGAAAAACTGTTTTGACAAAGTAGAAGTGTGGTCGGAAAATTTTCAGTGTAGCAGTCGTCGGGCATGGCTATCGTGCAAAGGGATCCCACCGTTTGTGTGGAGTCATTCCACCTTCAGAAACATTGCAAACAAATGGGGAGAACTTATCTCCTGGTATCTATGGACTTATGAGAGCATTAGCATATGCTGCATAGGAATTCTATTTGACCTTTCTATTTATTATTGTTTGTTAATAAACAGGTTTTGTTTATAAACTATTATTTCAGGCCAATTTTTCTGTTGAGTCTCTGTGACCTGTTAAACAAAAATAAATTTATAAAAGTCTCCGACTAGTTAAATGTGTGTCTGAATTTGTTGTCTGCATGTTTATCCCTGCAATTTTATGGGTGGGGTTCTTCATCATTCCTGTGTCTCACTCTGATTCTTTGTGACATGTAATGATGTTATATGAAGTTTTTGGGGGATTGGGGGTTCGTTCTCCCTTCTGAGGAGAATATTGTCATTCCAATTTCTAACTCTGAACTTTATGCATGGCAGATGGCAAAGAGATTAATGCAAGTTGCAAACGCTGAAGGTCTTCAAGTTAATGAGGTAAAAATCACTTGTGAGTGTATACTTGTTCCATTGCCGAGCATTACTTCGCACAATTGCACTATTGCTGTTCCAAATGGTTTATAATATAATTGACTTGTGATTTAGTAATGGACTTACTGGATTCTTGGTCAATAAACATGAGCTCTCTCTCTCTCCCCCCCCGGTAGTGAGATCATTTGTCTATAAAGTTTTAGAGAAACTGCAATCTAAAGATTTTGGCATGTTCTAAGTTGGGTGATTTACGTTTGGAAACCGAACAGCTTTTTTGGTAATATTCTTCAGTCATTTTTAGTTGTATAGATGCTGATCTTGTTGTTTTGATTATACCTTTTTTTACATCACCTATGATCTTTTCTGTTTTTCTTCCAGCACTCTACCCCTCCCCTCTTACCAAACATAATTTTTTTTTTAATTTTCCAGATTGCTCTGGAGGAACTTGCAGAAAGAGTGAACGGAGACATGCGCATGGCCCTAAATCAGTTGCAGTACATGAGTCTGTCCATGTCTGCTATTAATTATAATGACATAAAGCAACGCCTTCTTATCAGTTCCAAAGATGAAGACATTTCACCCTTCACAGCTGTTGATAAGTATGAATTAAGAGCTTACATGTTTCGCCGAGTGTTGCTGTTTGATTGATGTTTCCTAGATATGCTTCTCTTGCTGTCATTTTCTATTTAAAATGAACTTCAGGCTCTTCCAATAATTATTTCTCCTCTTTTTTTCTTTTATTGTTTCATCATTTGGAGAAATGACGTTTTTTTTACTGAGCTACTGAATCATGGATCAAATGTATCCTAGTTTATTTTCTCCTAGTATTTATTGTCCTTGTCATTCCTGATAACTCAATGATTTCATCCCAAAGCCTAGTTTACATGTCAAAAAATTATTTCCTTAATGATCCATCTTGTGGTTCATTGGTTTGGGGATGTGAAGTTTAGAGTTTTGTTGCCTCACAACTATGTGACTATCAGGATGTATGTTAATGACTCGAGCATTATTTGTTGACTAGTTTTAGAATTTTTATGTTTTTACTAGTCAATCATTGACAAGAATTCTGATACAATCCAATTAAACTTCTCTGTCTCTTGCTGTGAATTGAAATCCCTATCAGCAGGGCATTTAGAAATGTTCAATTATGCTTGCAGATTTAATGATAATTTGGTTTTAACTCTGTTGAAGCATAATTAATATGTTTCCAGTTACTAACCTCTTCCTCCTTCCTCATGTCTCCCATTTGAATCTGTTGTAATTTAGGCTGTTTGGATATAATGGTGGAAAGTTGAGAATGGACGAAAGAATTGATCTAAGCATGAGCGATCTTGATCTCGTTCCACTTCTTGTTCAGGTTATGCCTTTTCTAGTTTATCTCCCCAAGGTTTGTTGCTATTATTCATTTATGAAAGATCTTCCTGGAAACCTCGAACCTATTATGTTGGGGGTTCTCTGAATCAATGAAAGATGTAGAATACTTTAGTGCCTTTTTTGGATGATGGGCCCATTTCTGTGTGATTTAGCTCCATTGATAGATTATTTCTAATGTTGCGGTACTTCTTTAGAGCTTTCAAAACTATAAATTATATCTGTAGGATGCTAGTAAATCTAATAAAGGTACAGAAGTTTGTGTGGAAACTGGAAATGCTGCTTTTCATTTTCCTTTTTGTTGTTTTAGGTTGAGTCGGTGTCCTTTGCTCCAACTATAAACACCGCCTCAATAGCGTAGTATCCTCTACTGGAGGACTTTATGCCGATTTTAGTTCCTGCCCTTCTGATAGTGCTTTCCAACTTGTGCAGAATTTTTAGGTTTGGGTTTGTATGATTTCATTTGCATTATGTGAGCTTTGTTGCTAATTCGATCAACAGTTGAAGACTAGATGTTCTTAGCTTGAAAGTTGCTTACCCTTTTTTTCTCTACTATACATTTTTAATTTTTGCAAGCCCATTTGTATTTCCTTTGAGTATACTTGTTTGATTTAAGTGTTTCAATGTTTTTGTTTTTCCTAAACCATCTTATTTAATTGTTCGATACTTGCATATGTTGTGGGAGAGTTTATCTGTTGTGCGTTTTACATCGAGTTGCTCATTGTTGATTTTGGCATGACTTGGTATTTTTGTACATGCAGGAAAATTATATTAATTATAAGCCGAGTTCGATTGGTAAAGATGACAGTGGGATTAAACGAATGAACTTAATTACCCGAGCTGCTGAGTCTATTGGTGATGGTGATATAATCAATGTGCAGATTCGAAGATATCGACAGTGGCAGCTCTCACAAACTAGTACCCTTTCGTCGTGCATCATTCCGTATGTTGTATTTTTCAGGCCTTAATCTTTCAAATTTTTTTCATTTTGTTGTCTCATATTTTTCTTTTCTTTTCTTTTCATCAGTGCTGCATTGCTACATGGACAAAGGGAGACACTTGAACAGGTAAGTTTCTATCCTGAAGGTTCTTGATTGTAGTTATGACTTCTCATGCATTGGCATAATTTTTTCCAGTTTTCTATTTTTAAACAAAGAAATTAAAAGTAAAAACGAACCTTTTACTTCAGTCTTCTACAAGGTTGACAAGTACCATTTGGAAGGTGCTTTAACCTTTATATTCTATTTTTCAATCCAAAATATTGAAGCCTTCATCGTCCTTTTAAGAAGTCTGATCATGGCAAGCTCGTTCTTTATCCTTTGATGATTGATATGATTATAGGGTGTATTTTGTCTCCAACTCCGTAGTACCCATTCTACAGCTTAATTCTGCTTGCTAAAATGCTGAGTTAATCCCTTGTGTTTTCACTGAGTTCAATTTTATCATCTTATTTTTTTGAAAGGAGTCTAATTCCTTAATATGGTCATTATGACTCTTGGCACTGCCACTATGTTCTGAGTGATCGAGTGTGCATGTGTTTATTCTCTTAACATCAGACCATATGCTTAACAGTCAATTAGAAAACCTAAGGATCCGTTTGGTTTTTGAAAATATTTTCTGTTTTCATTTTCTATTTTCATTCTTAAAAAATAATTTTTTGAAAATTGGAAAACATATTTGGCAAATAGAAATAAAAGTTTGTTTTAAATATTAAAATAAGAGAACATGTTTTGTACTTATTTTCTCATAATGGAAACATGAAAAATAAAATAGAAAATTCCTACATTTATATGGATACGATCCGGGATCAGAAATTTGATATTTAAATTACTTTTTTAAAAATAATATTTCTGTTTACATGGATTTGAACCTGGGTCAGTTCATTAAGTTAAAATTCCCTTGTTTTCAACCTTTTCATTTGTACAAAACATTTTTAGTGAAAACAATGAAGACATCTTTTTATTTTTTTATAAAAGTAGGTCTCATTAAAAACCCCCTTCATAATTGTCCCTTTCATAAAGAAAAGGAGCAACTAGCGGAAGGAGGAAAAGAGTGCCTCATTTTATTGATATAACATAAGAACAACAATAATCCTTTGTATTACATCAGAAAAGACTATCCTCTAAATACGCAGAAAACATCCTGGATGTATCCAAATAATCGCCCAACCCCTTATTTAGCTAAGTTATCAGCCTCCCAATTACAACCCCTAGGTATAAACTTCACTATCAACGCCCTAGACAATGCAAAAGTCACGATTTCCTTGACTAGATTACTAAAGTACACAGGAGTTGAAGAAGGCGACTGGATCCATTCCACAGCTGTTTTACAATCACACTCCAGTATCAATCTACCCTTAGTTGACCAAACTGAGGAAAAGAAAATTTCAGTTCCTTTTCTAATTGCCTTCAATTCGGCTAATGGAGGAAGGCCAGGCCCGACACTTTCTGAAAACGATGTTAGAGTGAAGCCATTTGAATCTCTAAGAATGCCCCCTATGCCACCTGCCAACCCATCTTTTCTAATAGCTCCATTAACGTTGAACTTGAAGAAATCCACAGGAGGAGGAAGCCATCTCTGCAAAGGCCTATTATGAACCATTTAGCAGTTGAGCCCATCTGCTAGAGAGGGATCAACAATCAACGAATCAACCGAGATGGAAACTTGGTGGAACTTGGCTAAAAACCACTTAGATTTACTAATCAAGCAATCCTACAAAAGAAAGGCTTCTAAAGAGAGTGCAGATATACTGATGGCAAAGATAGAGAGTTCCATGGAGGGGGTACTTGGTCTGCGTTCGTTGATAATCTTAGTAGGAGAGTGAGCAGAAGAACATTAGGGGAACATTTTAGTTATCATGGTAAAGTTATTAGGGTGTTTATTCCCTTTATTAACAATAGACCGAAATACAAGGATTGTACGTTTGCGTTCGTCCATTTTGCAAGCAAGAAGGATCTGTGTAATGCGATGGAGAAGATGAATAATGTCAGGGTTGACGGGAGGATAATTTCTGTGTCAGTAGCTAAATATGATAAGTTATCCGAGATGAAGAATGGTGAGGGGCTAAGAGAGGAGGGCTCCAAAAGGGTAGAAACAGGAGAGTTGGAAGGCAGAAGGACTTCGCCAGCACAAGTGAAAGAGAAAATGGAACGGATGAGTAGGTTCCTTGATGGAAGAACTTATAGAGACACGATAGTTGGGATGAAAAAAGTTCCAGAGAGTCATCAAGTAAGCAATCAAAGGAATACAAATGAGGAGAAGAAATCTTTGGAAGTCTTTATCCCAGTGGAAGAGAGATTATGGTTGAAATCTTCACTTACTGGCATTTGCAAAGATATTTTCAAAGTAGACTTTGTGCAGAAAGCCTTACGGAATGAGGGCTTCAAAGTTAAGGTGATAAGGTGGGGATGTGCGAAGAATGCGTGTCTGGTAGTGTTTCAGTCGGTTGAGGAGAGAAGAATTGCAATGGAAGAACAATGGGAAGCTCTGACGTTCTGGTTTGAAATATTGGAGCCGTTGGAGGAGGAGGGGGGCATCCCATTAAATTGTTGGTTGGTATCGTTCTTTTCTAGCTTAGCATCCAAATGGGGCAAGTTAGTAAAAATTCAAGATCAAACTGCTCATAGAGTGGATTGTAGAGTGGCGCAGTTGCTACTAAGGGTTGAGAGTCCATTTGACATTCCAGAACAAACCATCATCAATACGTATGGGAGAAAGTTCATGATTAAAATTAAAGTTGATGGTGCTGAGGATTGTTTTCCTGAGTTAACAGACATGGAGATAGAAGAAGTTGCAGAGGAACCATGGGAGGATAGCTCTTCGGATTGGAGCAAGGAAGAAGTACAGAATTGGCATGAAGAGCAGGTGGGATTAAAAGAGTTGTCAGATCCTCAGAATAGGGTTGAGGAATGGGTTAGAAGTTCCCATCAAGGCAAAAACACAAATACCAAGGGGGGTTTGAATTTAAACATAGGTATGGAAAATACGTTTGACTTGTGCAAAGATGTGACAGAGGTAGGTGATGTCTCCATAGAGCAGGAAAAGTCAGAAGAAGTTAATGAAGGGAGAGAATGGGAAAAGTCAGGGAGGCGCTTCAACCGAGCATGAAAAAGTTGACTGCGAAATTGGGCTTCATAGGGGCCCGGAAATACATATGAGGAGTGGGCTGGATCAAGAGGAGGAGAGATTAAGCAAGGATTGTTGTATTGATACAGCAGAAAATATTGCAGTACAGTGTCAGACTCCCTTGCAGGTGGGGTCTGTTTCCTTGTCTTCTCAAAGGAATTCGGGGAAGTCTGTATCTAGGAGTAGAGTGGGAAGAGGCAAATACAAACATGTTTATTCAAGATCTAAGACGAGGGGATCTAGGAGCTGTTTAGGTACAAGTTCGGAGTATGTTTATAGAAATGAGGAGGTGGATGGGGCAGAGGCTTTGGAGTGTTGAAACGTAAGTAAATTGTTAGGGGTTACATTTAGAGGGGGAAAAAAGCTTTTATGAACAAAGCAATTCCATTGGTTAAGGATAGAGGAGCTCATGGGGGAGTTTAAGGGGTGATGGAATTCAAGGTTATAACTCAATATAGATGACTAGTTGGAATTTACTATCTTGGAATGTTAGAGGTTTGGGTAGGAGGATAAAGGCTAGAACTGTAAGGAGGGTTGTGAACGAGAGAAAGCCATTAATTTTATTCATTCAGGAATCGAAAATGGAAGTGTTAACTCCATCGATAGTGAGGAAAATGGGAGGTAATTTGCTGACAGCTTCAGCAGTTTCAGCAGCTGAAGGTTCTGCTGGAGGTCTGATTACTTTATGGAATGAAACAGAGTTGTCATGTTCAAGAGAAAATTATTCATAGAAGATATGTAGCAGTTAAGGGTGTTATTGATGAGTTACTAGGTTCTTGTTGGTTCATAAATGTGTACGGTCCATGTGTGGATTCAGAAAAGGAGGCGTTCTTTGGGGAGCTGCTATCATTTTTAGAGAATATAGACTGTCCAATGTGTCTCGGAGGGGACTTTAATGTTGTTATGTCACAGGATGAGAAGATTGGAGGTGCAGTGAATTTAGCTACAATGTTTTCTTTCAAAGATTTTGTGAGTAAAGCTAATTTACTGGATTTGCCTTTGGTTAGAGGCCGATTTACATGGTGTAACAGTAGAGAAATCCCAACTTATGAGAGGCTTGATCGATTCCTAGTGGATCAAAGATTTTTATCATTGTTCTCTATGATAACACAGAGACTCCTAGAAAGGTCTAATGTTGTTGATTGACAAGACTAAGCTGTCATGTTCTGTCGATGATTTCCTGGGGTGGTCGGGTAAGGGGGATGGCATGTTCTCGGTCAAAGCTTGTAGACTGTCGTTATATGATAATCTGAAGAGAGTTTTGAGTGGAAGAAGTGGGTTTGGGATGGTTTGGCTCCGCCTAGAGTTCAAACCTTCTTATGGCAGATTTGCCATCAGAAACTAGCAGTTATAGTGGAATTGAAGAAAAGAGGGATCCCTCTAACGGAAGTATTGTGTCCATTATGTAATTCCCAGGATGAAACTATAGCTCACCTGTTCTTAACGTGTTCTGTTGCTTCGGGATTGTGGAGTAAATTTCTAAGGTTATGGGATATTTCTACTGCTCTGCATCAAGATCCTTCCTCTATTCTCTGCTCATGGTCCAATCTTAGGCATAATTCTATTATTTGGAGGTTCATTCCGGCTGTTATTTTCTGGTCAATTTGAAAGGCAAGAAATCTGGTTGTTTTTGAAAATGGAAAATGTGACAGTTCATTCTGTATTTTATCACTAGATTTAGATTGGCGAAATGGTTCTTAGCTAAAAATCCTTCGGTTCGGATTCAGACAGACCTTTTAGTAGGGGATCCTACGAGGGCAGATTCTTTTCTCATTACTTCTGGTCCTAAGAAGGTTATTGGATGGTCTCCTCCGCCAGCGGATATGTTTAAACTCAATGTTGATGGAGCATTTACTGGCGATGGGATGCAAGGGGTATTGGTGGTGTTTTGAGAGACTCTTTCAGCGACTCTTTAGCTTCTTTTTCTTCTGCAGTGGGGCCTGGTTTGCCTATTTTGACTGAACTGAAAGCTATTAAGGAAGGATTGGGTTTTTTCTATTCTTCAAATTGGGCTAAGAAGGGAAGACTTATTATTGAGAGCGACTGCAAATGTGCAGTGGGTTGGATTTTAAAGCTGCAACTTGCCCCTTCCTTTTTCAGTGATCTGGTGGAGGATATTGAAGCTCTTATTACTGCTAAGGGGGTCGTTCTTAGATGGATTCCTAGGAGCTGTAATTTGGAGGCTGACAGGTTAGCTAAGCAGGGGATCAGTTAAGTGTAACAGGCTTCTTGTAATGTTTTGTGCTTTTTCGATGGGTTTTGTTGTGGTTGATCCTTTGTAATAGTATTGCTAGTTTGGGAATCAGGACTCACCCTCTGATCTAAGGTACTGCTTTGTCGGTTGAGTAGGTTTCTGCTGTAGTTTTGGTTTGCTTTGGGTTTTGAGCGCTGTATGTTTTTTATTGTTTGATGGGGGTGTGGTCCTGGTTGTTTCCTATGTATTTTATGTCGTTGAATAAAATCTTAAGGCTCTCTTTTCCTCCTTCCAATGATTAAGGAGCTTTCTCCAAGCTCCATTAATTACGAAGGGGGTTTTTAACGAGGTCTTCAATTCTTATAAAAAAAAGATCATAACAGCATCTTGCTGGAAAATAGGGGCTAGAATTGGGGCCCTAAATCGTTCAAAATGTTTAATTATGTCATGGAAGAGGAGGGGTTTTGTACGATGATGGAGGGAGAACTGGACAAGCTTTGTAATGTGGAGAATAGACAACCAATCTCTAGCGTACTAAAAGGAGTGCAGGAAGCAATGAAGAAATGGTCTGGGAAGGGTTATCTAGAGATCCCCGGGAGAATAAGTAGGCTGGAGAAAGAAATTTAGGAGATGGAACTTAATTTGCAACAAGGTCTCCCCGTGGTGTCGATGACGAATTTAGTGGAAGCAAAGAAAGAGTTGTGGGACTTGTATAAAAAAGAGGAATTGATTTGGCTTCAAAAGTCAAGATTGAAGTAGAGTTTGGATGGGGATAAGAACACTAGATTTTTCCACCAATGTGCAAGAGGTAGAGGAAGGAGAAATGGTATCAAATCCATCAAAGTAGATAATGAAGACATTTCAGATCCAAAATTAATTAAAGCTTCGGTGGTGCACTTTTTCAAGGGGTTGTTAAACTAGGAAAATACATTGGAAGTTGAGGAGCTAGATTTGGACTTTTTAAAACTCTCGAATCAGCAGAGTATGGCCCTTGAGAAGCCTTTTTCTGAAGACGAAATTTGGGGTGTAATTGCTAATTCGGATAGCAATAAAGCTCCTGGCCCGGACAGACTGAATTTAGGCTTTTTTAAGAAGTTCTGGTCAAGTTTGAAGGAAGTTTTGCTGCTGTTTTTTAAGGAATTTTATGCAGGAAAGGAATGGGACATGGAAACCAACCATTCTTTCATCTCTCTTATTCCTAAGAGGACCAATCCGGAGGGGCTAGAACTTGTTTATAGCAAATGAAGGCACTGATTGTTGGAGGAAAAAAGGTTTGAAGGGAGTTGTTTTTAAGGTGGATTTCAAAAAAGCCTTTGATTCGGTTGATTGGAGGATCTTGCTGAAAATAATGAGTAAAATGGGGTTTGGAGCTAGATGGAGTTCTTGGATGTACAAGTGTGTTTCAACAGCTTCCATTTCAGTTTTGGTAAATGGCACTCCTACGGAGAGAATTCACACTAATAGAGGTTTAAGGCAGGGCTGCTCGTTATCTCCTTTGTTGTTCAATTTGGGAGGGGAATTGCTACACTTATTGTTGGTGAAAGCAGTGGATAAGGGGTTGTTTTCGGGTTTTGAATTAGGTTCTAATGATCGTTCTTTCATGTTATCTCATTTGCAATTTGCGGACAACTTAATAATCTTTAGCAAGGCTTCTATTCATGATTTGGCGAATATTAGAAGGGTGTTGTTAATTTATGAACTGCTAGTGGGTCTGAAGTTGAATCTGACTAAGAGCAGAATTTTTGGAATTAATGTTGGGGGGGAGGAGTTAGCTTCATGGGCCACGAAATTAGGCTGTGTAAGGGGAGATTTTCCATCGGAGTACCTAGGCCTACCGTTGGGGGCCAAGAACTCTTTTTCCCTGTGGGAACCGGTTGTACAAAAATTTTATAATAGTTTGGCTGGTTGGAATGCCAAGTCTTTATCTCTGGCTGAAAGGGCAGTCTTGGTCAAATCGGTGTTGTGCTCTCTTCCAATTTACTACCTTGCTATCTTTTGGATCCCTATTACTGTACTCAATAAACTAAACTCTATCATGGCATCGTTTTTATGGGGGGGTCAACAGAAAAAAAGAACATTCATTGGGTCAAATGGGAATTGGTGTGTAAGCCAAAGAAGTTGGGCGGTTTAGGGATTCCGAATCTGTTGCTATTAAATAGGGCTCTTATGGGGGAATGAGTGTGGAAATTTACTGCAGAGAATTTTTTGGTGGAAATCAGTTGTGTGTTGTGTTTACAATATGGATCCTAATTCAATGATGATCCAAAATACTTGGACAGACCGTACTTCTTGGATTTGGAGAGGAGTTAAGAACTTTTCAAGTGATGCTTTTGGGGACTGTTTTAGAAAAAAATTGTGTTAGAGCTGGAAATGGAGAAACAATGCAGTTTTGGCATGATGTATGGTTGGGTTCGGTTTCTTTGAAAGATAGGTTTCCAAGGTTATTTGCTCTTTCGAATAACAAAGAGGGTAAGGTTGCAGAATTCTTATTGTATAATGATTCGGGTTGGGTTTGGGATATTCAAACAAGAAGGAATTTGGTGGATTGGGAGGTTGAGCAGTGGCTACAAATTATCTCTGTTGAATAGCTCTTCATTGTCTCTATTAGAGGAAGATTGTTGGATTTGGTTGGGAAATGGAGAGGGTTATTTTACTGCAAAATCATGCATGAAAAATTATTTTGATAGAGAGGGTAATGATGAATTACAAGGTAATTGGGAAAGGTATGTTTGGAAAGGAGTAGCTCCACCACGAGTGGAATCTTTTGTTTGGCAACTTGCTCATCATAGAGTTGCGGTGAAAGAGGAACTGCTGAAGAGAGGAGTTACGGGGGTTGAAGACACTGTCTGCCCATTGTGCAAGAAGTGCAATGAGTCGGTCTCACATTTGTTTCTGCATTGTGATGTGATATGGGATTTGTGAGCTAAATTTTTAAAGTTATGGAATGTTTTCTTTGTGATTCTTGGTAAGTTGATGGATTTTTTAATTGCTTGGGAGGACCTAGTTCCGAGATCTCACATATGGAAATTTATTACAAGAGCAATGTTGTCTTCTGTTTAATAAAATTATAGGCGCTCTTTTCCTCCTTTCATTACCCTTCATGTTACTTTCATAACATGGAGGGTAAAAAGGAGGTTTTTTATGAGGCCTCATCTTCTATCAAAAAAAAAATGTTGTGGTATGTTTGGAAATGTAGGAATGAGGTGATTTTCCAGAATGGGAAGGTAGATTATGTGTTGTTGTTCTTCATTACACGATTCAGAATTGTTTCTTAGTTTGAAACTTCTTTTAAGGATGTTCATATTCATTTTGATTCTTTGATGGGGGATTTAAAATTAGCGGATCAGCATGGCAATCTGAAAAAGAGGTCTCTTCCTTCTTCTAGGTGGAATCCTCCTCCGGAAGGGTTTTTAAAAGTTACGTAGACGGTGCAATGGTCAAAGGTTGGGATAAGGGTGGAATAGGTGGCTTGATTAGGGATGGCAGTGGTTCGGTGCTTGGGTCGTTTTCAGAGAAGGTAGGGGGAGGTCCTCCTTTACTCGCAGAGCTATTGGCGATTAATAGAGGGTTGATTCTCATTGATGAAGTTGAATACTTTCCAAGTCAGAGGTTCATTTTGGAATCGGATTCTGCTAATGCTCTGAAGTGGATTAATAATCCGAACCTTAGTACTTCTTTGTTTCAATCCTTGGTAAGGGATATAGCTACCATTGTGGAGAGGAAGGGTATTATCATGAGGCATATTTCGAGAGCAGCAAATTGGGAAGCGGATGAATTAGCTAAAGCTGGTATAGGTTGATTTTTAGGTTTGTGTAATGCTTTAAGGTGTTATGCCTTGGTTATTCTTATTAAGGGAGTATTAGGGTGTGTTATGTTTACAGAATTATGGTATTTGTTTTGTAAGGAGTTGTTAGTTGTTGAGGTGTATTATTGTTCTCATTAATAAAAGTTAGAGGCGCTCTTTTCCTCCTTCCAATGTCTTTCATGTTATGTTTGTAACATGTAGGATATGAAGGGGGGTTTTAATGAGGCCTTATTCTATCAAAAAAAAATTTTGCTCCTTATAATTCTCATAAATAAATAGTAAATTGAACCTAATAATAAACTAACATTTTACTAAAAATAATAATAATTATTTGACCCAATAAACTGATATACTCATGTATAATGTTAGATTTGTCCTAATATAGAAGGCTGGTTTCATATTTGCAGGGAGAACGCAATTTCAATAGATTTGGTGGGTGGTTAGGAAAGAATTCAACTATGGGCAAAAATTATAGGCTTTTGGAGGATTTTCATGTTCATTTTCTTGCTTCACGTGAATCTTGTTCGGGAAGGTAATTCATGGTTATGTTTTATGTCTTTCTGTCTAGTTTTCTTAAAATTTTGGGTTGTGTTTGCTGCAAACTCATGATTCAAGGCATGGTAGCATGACTTAGATTTTATTTTGTTAGAATGTGTAAATATTATGGACTGTAAATTATGGCTAACCTAGTATTATTTACTTCTTGTGTACTCTTTCAAATAGTATAAATACTGATTAAGTTTGAGTGAATAATCAAGCTGATTCTTTAAATCTAATTTTCTTATTTGTTTTTCTTTGAACTTTCTTATCTCCTTCAGTTAACATTATCCATATTCTCTGTTGATATCCGTGGCTGAATCTTTAATAAATGATGATCTAGTTACATGATTGAATTTTTCATTAATAATTTATTTTTCCCATCTCATCATTTGTTGCATTTGCATAGCCAGTTTTGATATCTAAATTAACTGAAGAGGAGAGCCAATTATTGGAGTCTGACTAGGGCTACTTCCCAATGAAACTGTTTGCATCGTGAGATGTTTAATGTCAGCAGTTTTATTTGCTAATTTGATCGTTAAACAGCTATGACGAAAGCTAACTGGTTCACGTACTCATTTTGCAAATGTCTTGCAAAATCTGGTTGTCAATTGAAGGAAATAAAGTTGATTCTATCTTAACTTTTGTTCTGAGATCTTTTTTTTAATAAGAATTGGAGGTCTCATTAAAAAACCCCTTCATAATTGCCGAGATACCGAGGGTATAACAGCAAAAAGCTGATTAACATTTTTCTATCTTAACTTTTGTTCTGATATCTATTCTGGCTAGATTGATTAATTGGCATTTGCTTTAGAGATTTCTTGTCTTATAGTGTTCAGAGAGATGGAAAGTGGGAACTGAAGAACTCTGTTTGAATTTAGTTTCGTATTTGTCTGCAGTCATCTATGTGAATGCACATTGATTGCGTATAGATTTTCACATGCTTGTGTCAGAGCCATGGTCCTAATAATAATCATATTACTCAATGAAAAACACTATAGGAGGATATCTGAAGAAGTGGACAGATTGTTCTACCTCTTATGTTGCTTTATTAGTTTCAACACAATCTTTATTTCATTTGAGATGATTACCTTTTTTTCATTTATTTATCCCATGTTAAATATTTTTTGTGCTGGAAATGATACAGGGAAACACTTCGACTAGAATATCTCACATTGCTTCTGAAAAGATTGACTAATCCACTTCGAGACATGCCTAAGGTTTGAAAGTTACCTTTTTTTTTCATTTGGTATGCATGTTACATGTAACTACGAAAGCATCATGTGATGCAAGGTTGGTCATAGGTGCTATTGCAAGTTGTGGTTTGGTGGTGAAACCCTATCTGGTTACCATAAAATTCCATCATATCTGAGTGATCTGTATTGATTTATGTATTTATATCTTTTTACGTCTGCAACTAGAGATGTAAGACTAGGATGTATCATGACCAATGGCTGTATCATCTACTCTGTTTCATGCCCCTGTTTTTAAGTACACATTGAACTACTAGTGTTATTTTTTATAGGAATGGGAGGTCTCGTTAAAAACCTCTCACTTAGTAGTCCTTTACCGTGAGGCAAGAACGTACTAACAGTAGGAGGAAAAGAGTACCTCAATTCATTAATAAAAAACTGATTACATAAGACCTCAAAATAAACTCCTAGAAAATACATAAACCATAACACACTTCTCTATCACCTAAACAGGAAAACAGACCAACAAACTAAAACAAGATACATCATCCCCCAATCCCCTCCTTTGCTAGTTTATCCACCTCAATATTACAACACATAGGAGTCCACCGCACAATAAACTGTTTAACAGAAACAATAGACACAATTTCCTTAACAAAAATATTGGGAAAAACAGGAGGCAAAGCCTGTTCATTAATCCAGTCCACTGCTTACTTGGAATCACTCTCAATGATTAGCCTACCCTTCGAAGCCCACTCTGAAGAAACAAATATGTCAATGCCTTTACTGATAGCTTTCAGTTCTGCAGTAATCGGAGAAGTAGAACCGATATTTTCTGAAAAAGAAATAAGTGTAACCCGGTTCCAATCTCTGAGAATGCCCCCAATTCCCGCCTTCATCCCAACTCTACTAACAGCCCCATCCACATTCAACTTAAAAAAATCCACTGGAGGAGGGCTCCAGCAATGTACTTTCCTTTTCGGCTCCTTACTAGAAGAAAGTTTGTCCGCCAAAGAAGGATCTCCAAAGAACTACTAGTGTTATTTTTACTTTGCCCTTCCGAATTATATAAAAGCAATTTTTTCGGTGGGGGGGGTGTTTCTTCTCTCTGTATTTTAAAGGACATTTCTCTTCCTATTTTATAAAAATGATTGTCTCCTTGTTTGATGGATCTGGCTGTTTTAGAGATGGGTGTAATGGGAAAGGGGTTGTGTTAAACATACTTCCAACATTGATCTGTGTCCCTGTGGTGAATTTTATTTATTGGAACCTTGGGCCACCTCACATTTTGCTCTCTGTTGCTTTTTTTCTTTTTTTGCTTCTGCATCATGCCTGATTCGTGGGCTTGAAGAATTATTTTCCTTGTTCTCCTTGTATTAATCGCATCTTTGTTTCCCGGTTCTATTTATTTTGTTTGTTCATCTGTTTATTGTGATGTATGTAATTTATCTTGTTCTACTTGTACTTTTGGTTCTCATGTTTCTATTTTTTTTTTACTGTTATTTTAATTTCTCTTCCATTAATTGTGATGTGTTGGTGTATACGAACATCTGGATGTGCTTGCAGCAGGGCGGATGCACTAAGCCTCCTAGGGGGCCAAGTGCATCCCCATTTTTTTGGGAAAAATGTGAAATTTAGTTTAATATATTAAGGAAAAATGGAGAAAAAAAAGTGCATACCCATTATTTTTAAGAAAAAATATTAAAATTTTGGACCTCCATTCTTAAATTTCCAGATCAGCCACTGGCTTGCAGTTGGCCTTTGTGCCTTATATTTTATGCAAGGGATCACTTTTGTAAAGTGTTTCCATTTTCCTCTGATATGGACCAGGATGAAGCTGTTAAGCAGGTTTTAGAGTTTATGAACACATACTCAATAAGCCAGGAGGATTTCGACACTGCTATGGAGTTATCTAAATTCCAGGCAACGCTTCTTCTGTACCTTTCCATATAACATATGCAATTTCTTTTTATTTTCTTGTGTTTCTGAAATACATTTTTGTTTTCAAATAATCTCTGCTCAGGGGTATCCAAATCCCATGAATGGCATTCCACCACCTGTCAAAGCAGCACTGACAAAAGCATACAATGAAGGAAGCAAAACACGAATAATACGAGCTGCAGACTTGATAACTATTCCTGGAATGAAAAAAGCCCCAAAGAAGCGGATTGCTGCAATTCTAGAACCCTCAGATGATGGATTAGGAGAGGAGAATGGTGAGGTGGCGGAAAATGAGAACACTTCAGACACAGAGGACTTGGGTAATAATTTTTGTTGAATGTTTTTGTTGATTCGTTTGGTATTTACTCACTAAATTTCCCATCTTCTGTTATGTCCTTTGCAAAATTAATACTTGTTTTTAGCTCCATTTGACCTGATACATTTTTGCTAGAGGTCTCTCTACTTTCTGATTCGGAGAAGAAAAATAACTCATTTATGCACTGAAAATATTAATAGAGATAGAAATAGAACTATGCATGCCTTCAAACCTACTGAAGTCAAGATCGAAAGTCATAAATCTAATCCTTCCATCTCCTAAGCCCCACATGGCTTTCTATTGTTTCCTAGACCTTAACAACCTCCACCCCCACCCCCTAAAAAAATAACACACACACAAAAAATAAAAACCCTTTTCGTGGCTTAAACTTCAGTTCTCAAATCAGAAGTCTCGAAAAAAACCCACTCCTCTTTCTCAAGGTATAAACTTGAACTTACATTTTTGAAGTCCCTAGGTATAAACTCCTCTTTCCCAAAACTTGTATGAAATGTAAAACAAAGTCTTTTACTGGAATAGGGTGTTCCAGTTGTTGCACTTATGGGTGACTATCCAAAAAAGTAGTTTCCTTTAAGTAATTATGTTAATGCCTTACCTTTTGTTTTTGGGACACCAGAAGGTACTACCGATGGTGAGAAGCTGCAGGCTGAACTTCAGAGTTTGAATTCAAAAGGTAGCTAATGTTACCTCAATCTTTTTTGTTTTTGATTGATCAATTGTACATATCTTACAAATTAATCTCTTTTGATATCTTGCGTTGTTTCTCCCAGGGATCGAAGTACAAATGGAGTTGAAAGGGACAGGGAATTCAAGTGCTAAGAAGGCACCGGCTAGTAGAGGAAAAGGTGGTGGTAGGACCGGAAATGTGGAAAAGAAAGGTGCGCGCGGTTCAGGGGCTGGAGCAAAGAGAAAAAGGTAAGAAGTATGCTATAGTGTGGCCATTCTACAATTTTGGCAGTGTTTATAAGCAGTGGAAGTAGCATGTCCTCTCGACGACTACGTGGAAATCTTTGATGTTTGTAGTGTTTTGGTGTAGACAACTTTCCTAATTCCTATTCCTATGGTGTTTGATGCTAAACTGTTTTGGAGCCATTTTTTCAGTATGTATGTTATGAATTGGTGAACCGTCCAAAACACTTTCCCTATATGCATTTGTTTAATTCATTTTGTCTGTCATGCATTAGATGTCTAATTATTTGACTTTTTGGAAGATAACATTCTTGACATGAAAAATTTTACACCTCCGTCCCCCTAAATGTGTCCATTATTAACTTTAAAAAGTTAAAATATTTTAAACTTTAAACACAATTATTTTAAATAATTAATTTTTTTAAAATATATATTTTTTAAAAACTACTTGATCTAAAGCTTTTAAAATATATTAAAAGGTCAACAGTTGACAGATTTTATGGGACATAGGGAGTATTTCTTCTATAGTTTGGCTACCTGTCTGTCTGGTTTTGTTTGAGTGGATGAAAATTCTTGTCATGATAATTTTGTTTGATATAAAAAATAAACCTTTAAATTTGTATTAAGATAAGCATTCATGTCATAATAAATTTTAAGATTCCGACTGTCCATCCTTTACGTAATCTATAAATTTTAAATTTATAAAAAAATCATTAAATTTATATTAAAATAAGTAAAAAAAATCAAGAGTGGATAGGGTAATATTTTAGGTTAGATTGAAAATATTTTATTTTCCTTACTAGATTAAGCAGATGGAATAATTTTAAATTAAAACATAAAATTTTATCATCCGTGATACGTTTTTTATTCAATTGAGAAATTAGGTTTTAACTGAAATTTCTATTAAATATCATTTTTTTGGAGTGGGTATGGTAGTATTTTAGGTTAAAATAAAAATATTATGTTTTTCGTATTATATCACGTAGATTAGATAATCTTTTAGGTTAAAACGAAAAAAAGTTACCATTAGTGGTACGTTTTATTTAATTTAAAATTTTGTGCAACATTATAGGTTGTAATCATAGTTTTTACTAAATATGCAACTATTTTGAGTGGATATAATAATATTTTATGTTGAATAAAAAATATTACGTTCTCTTTACTAAATCATGTATATTTGATAATCTTCCAGGTTAAAATGTACATTGTAAGTTAAAATTTAGATATTTTATTTATCATTCTAAATCATGTAGATCTGATAATTTTGCAGGTTAAAACATAAAAAATTATCATGATTGGTAAGTTTTATTCTATTGAGAATGCAACATTATTGGTTGAAATTGAAATTCTTATCAAATATGTAACCTTTTAGAGTGGACATTATAATTTCAGGTTGAACCAAAATATTACGTTCACCATAGTAAATCATGTATAAATTTTTATGTTAAAACATAAAAAGTTACCACCAATGATAAATTTTATTCAATCGTTGAACTCAATTTAATTGTAGGTCATAACTGAAATTATTATCAAATATCTAATTTTTTTATAGTGAAGAGGGTAACATTTTAAGTTGAACCAAAAATATTATGTTCACCACTAAATCTTGTGGACCGGGTGATTTTTCAGGTTAAAATGTTAAAAGTTACTATCAATTGTAAGTTTTATTCAATTGAAACTCATGTAATATTATAGGTTTAATTGGAAATTTTTACTAAATATATAAATTTAGAGTGGACAATAATATTTTGGGTTGGTTATTACGTTTTCCTTACTAAATTATGTAGATAGAATATTTTTTTACGTTAAAACGTACAAATTTATCAATAGTTGTAAATTTTATACAATTGAGGAACTCAGAACATTATAAATTTTAACTAAAATTCTGATCAAATATCTAACTTTTTAGAGAGAAAATAATAATATTTTAAGTTAAAATATAATTATTTATAATAAATCATGTAAATTGAATAATTTTCATATTAAAATGTCGTAAGTAATATGCTTTTTCCCATTATGTAATTTTTCAGAGTGAACAAGGTAACATTAAGTTCCAACCGAGTAATATTTTAAATTCTAATGATTACTTGTTGAACCAATCACGCCGTAAATTGACCTTAAATTACATGCTGCACAGCAGAACCTCCCGGTTAGGTTGTTGTTCCAACTCTATTTTTCTTCCTTATATATCAGACAATGGTGAACACATTTTCAGACATGTTTAAAAATTAATACAAAATTAGAACTTAATACATTCATCAAAACAATGCTTGCGATGCATCCATACCCCAAGTGAAAAAGGCTACCCTCATTTTCTTTAAGTAACTGTGCCTGACGGTTAAAAGCTACTTAAAAAACTGTGAGAAGACCGCTGCATCATGAACTACTGAAAATACAAACGAGCAAATGATGATAGTTAAAACATAGATATCCTAAGGGCAATTCTGTTACACCAAAAAGCTATGTTCTCTCGTTCAGTGACGGGAATGTTCCCGGATTAGTGTCTCGTTGGTGTAGGAAGCTACTATTTTAAAGTTATGTTAGCAAATTTATAACACGTAAGAACAATGACAACGGTAAACAGACAGACAGAAGACCTACATAGGATATACTTCCATACTCTGATGAAGTCATCTCAACTTTTTACCTTTTCTTGATCTTTCTACTTTTCTTATCTGATCTTAAATACTAACTTTTCCTCCGAGTCTTGCAACAAAAATGCTTTTCCCTACCCTTCCTCGTCATAATCTTCTTCGTCCTCGTCTAACCTTTTGCCAAGCTGAGCAATTTGAAGAGGATCAATGGCCACCTTGTCCATGTCTGAAAGAGACCAGCCTGGGTATTCTTCATGTTTGGTCTCAATTCTATGATCTGCTGAAGAAGGCTGAGCTGCTGCCTCCACTGCTGTTGTTGCTGGGTCAGCAGTAGCAGTAGTGGTAGCAGCACCTGCTGCATTCTTTCCATTCATGTTCTCATCTATCTCAGAATTCAGATCAAAATTCCAAACGGCTTGATTGGCATCTTCAGCAATTGTGTTCTCTTTGATCAGTTCCTTTGACTCGGAACCATTATCTATGACCATTCCGGGGGTTGAATGACTTTTGTCGTTTTGCTGAACTGAGTGGGGTTCCAGTTCTATTTCACGATGAGCATCCCTTTCCGCATTTCGGCCTTCTCTGCCACGTCCCCTACCTCGTCCCCTGCCTCTCCATCTCTGCATGACCCACATCATGCTGCATAGAGTACGTCTAAAAATGTCAGTTATTGGAAGTACCAAAATTCACGTAAACATATATAACCAGTTCATCTTTTGCAGATGTTTCTGGCATCTAAATCGCTCCAAGCCTCCAACTGTTTAATTTTTCGAAATACTGTGAGGGTATATCCAGACATTGGTATGAAGATATAACCCCTCAAAGACCCTCCAAATGCATGGACAAAGCTTATAAAGAATTGAATATATCAATGTCAGATAAAAAAATATAAAAAAAATTGAACATATCAGCGTCGGATATATACCCGTACCGACAATTGACCCAAGTCCGAGTAAGATAGTTTAGCATAACAAATTGGAGTTCACCAGATACCTCTGTCACTGAAGAAAAACATTCGCATTTATTCTTAAATTTGCACAAAAGTGCATCCTATGTTGTATGTTCTTAGGACGTGTCTATATTTATACACACAAAGATGTTAAATAGAAGCCATCTTACCATTTTGGTCCCCTTTGATTCTTCATCACTGTCATGGACTTCATCTCCAGCAGCTTTCCTGGCAGAATGATATGGAAACATATCATGGAATATCTTTGTATGAATTAAAAAGTACCAAACATGATGTAAAGCTCTCTCTAACCTTCTCCTTGAAACATTTTGATCATCAGCAGCAACGGCATCAGAATGACCATGACCATAATCAGGAACCCGGCTAACGATGTCCCTCGGAAAATCAGTTTAGTTCGACACTTTAGTTAGACCAACACACAACAGATCGACATCACTAGATATAAACACAAACAAGATTGGAAGTAACATAATGTGATACCATACCGATCAGAAGACTTGTTAATTGAAAAATGTAGCATGATCTGGAAAAGATGAATTCAAAATCACGATTCTCAATCTACAATAATCAGCATAGTTGATCAGTTCTAAATACTTTGTGACCAGAAAAGGAGGAAAATCTGGACCAGGTCCAACATAAAATTAGAACCTTTTACGAATCAAATTTGTTGGAATGTAGCTTTACAAATTTTGGAACACTAGTTTCAATCATCGGAATCAAAGAACACATTACAATAAACTTTCTACTATTCCATTCACCCTAAACATCCCAAAAGCTCTTCTGTGAATAGATAAACGGATGTTAGTTGATCACCATGGAATCTCAATACTTTTATATCATGTTACTTCTTTTTTTTTGCTAGGCATGTTACTTTTCATTAGTTTGCAGCGATGATGATGGTTGTAGTTTTCCACTATGGTACCCAGTCTCAATTTTTCTTCAAGTACTCATGTCCAACACCCATACATAACTCATATTCAAACATGAGCATGGTATATCATTCTCCAAGGACTCCCCGAATACAAGAATTTTTTGCGAAAAATTGAACACCTGTGTTAGACACATACTCATATCCAATACTCATACCCAAGTCTGAGTAACATAGATTTGCTATGTGTTTCTCCCTTCACTCTACATATGATATTGTGCCAATTCTCCTCTTTAACAAAGCAAATCATCTGGGATGGGGAACAAATAAAAAAAAAGATCGTACATTTTTTGTCCATTGAGTACTAATATGAGCACTTCTACATCCAATAAAAGGAAAAAGAATATCATTTCAGCCAATGTAGTTATCAAGTTTGTAATTTCTTAATAGACTAAAATACGTACAAGTTGTTACTGAAATTAACTTATAAGCTGTAATAAATTGTAGCAGTTACAGGATAAGTTGCTCCAACTCTTCATTTTCCCTAAAGCATCCATATTCGACAACCGTATTTGATACATGTTTTGACATGGGTATAAATGTGTAGCAAAACTGAAAGAAATTTTCTTTTTTGAGAATATCCTATTCAGAAATATACCCATACCCCACAATTACCCCCAAGTCTGAGTAACATAGATTACAGGCCAACAGAGGGTTCAATTCATGTTTAGCATAGAAAAATATTTGAATGTTGGTATTTTGGAGAACTGGAATATGGGTTGTCAATAAATACTTAAACACAATGGCCAAAGAATGCTATATGGATAAAAATTTATATAAATTCTCAAGTAGAAAATTAATATCACATGTTACAAAGAATAATGTTAATTCTTCACTCACAATTGTAATGAATTCATGGTCTTTGCACCTCTCTGAAGGGTAATCTCATATTTACGATCACAAAGGTCTTGTAGAAACAATTCCAAGGCTTTAGCTGTAGAGTGCAAGGTAAAAGAAAGAAGCATGAGCAAGAAATATACATGTGGGGGGCAATTATTTATGTAAAAGCATGAATGTTACTGCCACTCACAAACTAAAACAGGCACTGCTAATGCAATCTTCCCAACATCTTCATCAGCTTGCATAATTTTTTCAATGCGAGCCTGAAAAACAAATATCTCCAAAATTTAAGCACTAATCACGGCTGAAATAAATTTAAAAAAAAAACACTACATAAGGGAATATCAGTCCAAAAGATAGCATATAGACCCATGGTCCTAAAGCATATATAAAAAGTCAGATATTTTTCTTTACTACCAAACTTTTTAATCACTCACTTATATGCACAATTCCATAAACAGCTTCAAAGATGCAACAATGTTTCCAGTATGGAACCATAAAAGTGTGTATTGGAAATAAAAGCAATCAACGTCATCTATTAGAATCTGGATTCTAATAAAAAATAGCAAGGCCTCAGCAACTATGATCATAAGAAACCAGACAAGTTTTGTTAAACAATACAAGAGAGTACAAAGACGAGAGGAAATGATAATTGACACAGAGTTCCTTGTCACTCCATTTGGAGAGCATCACCTTGCAGGTTCTTACAAGTCGCTGGTTTAATATCATTGCCATAGTTCAAGTAACCTACCATGAAGCTCACTCCTTTTACCAGGTTTTGATTTCAAACTAATTAAGAGAGAAGTAGACAGAGCGCAGATGTCAACACCAAACAAGAACATCATGATAAACAAGAAACTAAACCTTTATAAATCGGTAAGTGAGAAACCTCCAGAAAAACTATAGAGCTTGATGTTATAACTCATTGTATGATTATCTAAGATAATACTATAGAACTTGATGAAAAACTATTTTTATGAAAGATTTTATAAGCCTACTTGAAAAAGAAAGGCAATTTCCAAAAGTTGCATTAAAGAAACTCGTCATGTATAATGATCCTTTCTTAAAGAAACTATATTTATGAAAGATTTTATAAATCTCTTTTGTATATATATAAACTTTTTTAGGATGGTTTAGGGACTTATTTAATATTTTAGTAGTAGTTTAGGGATGAAGTTGTATAACATCTCTTAACATTATCACATCGTCAATTTAACGATGATGACGGTGAAGTGATTATTTTTTTTATAAATTAATAATGTTAGTGATGAGTTTATTACTTTAAAAACTTGACGAGAAATGAAAATGAACTCAAACGTTAATGCCGTGCAGTTCACCCAAGAAATTAAAAAGCAAAAATAAAATAAGGGTAAACTATACTTGTGACCACTATTGTATTATCCTTTTCATTTGACCATCAATATTTTAATTTTTCAATTAGATCATCTAACTATTTAATTATTTCAATCAAGTCACTAGTCGTTAACATTTAATGAAGACGTTGTTATGACCGTTAAAAAAATTGATATAACTATACATTTGGTCATCATTAGTTATATATTCTATCAATTTAATCCTAATTTTAATGTAATTAAAAAATAACTTTCTATTAAGATATTAATGAGTAAATAAGAAAATAATAATTGAATAAGAATAGTAGGACATAAATTTGAAGAATAAAACAGATATAGTTGATAGACTAGTATGAAATATTAATACAGTCCATGGGAATGGCTTAAGCAACTTGGAGGTTTAGGGTTAATTATTGTTGTGAGAAATATGGGACGATGAGTTGACAAGTTTGAGGATAGAGAGGAAGGAAATGAGAAGCATGAAAGCCAGTGCAAGAAATGAGGCAACAAGAGCTCCAGCACCACGGTCGCAATACGCCCCAAATTTATCACAAATCTTGTCCAACCTCGCATGAGAATTACCGTTCTTCCCCAGCTCCGCCATGAACGCCGCCGCATTTGATACACCCGATAACAATGCCACGTTCAGCTGCCCCCATGCATGCATGCATCGTCCAAAATATAAACAAAAGCAAGCTCTGAAGTACGTAAAAAAACAATTGTAGTTAACCTACCACGTCCAAAATAGCAACCATGGGAAAACGGTAACCCTTGTAATCGAACTTGCTCCTCAACAGATCCGCCATTATCATCACCAAGTTGTGGATGCTGACCAGTCCCTTAGCTATAACAAAGAACCTGTATGACATGGAAAATATGAAACAACACTATTACTCATAGGTATAATGACAAAAAATGCCAGAAACGTTTCGTTTTGAGACAAATAGAGACCCCTATGAAGATAGAAAATGTTATCCAATGACCTGTCAACACTCTAAAATAGGTACTTTGACCCTAAAATAAAACGTTGAGGCCAAAATGCTCTAAAATAAAAGAGTAAAGGCTAAATAAGGAGCTATTTAGTCAATTTTAAGGGCCTTTTGTCCAAAAATAAACGCTGGGCCAAATTTCTTTAAAAAAAATACGAGTCAAATAATTATTTAATCAAACATTATAAGTATTTTTTTGGCATTATGTCTACTCATAAATCATAATATATGTATATAACGAAAGGAAATGAATGAATATGATAAGGAGGTAGGTTAGTTACACAAATGCAGGGGTGTGGTGAAACTTGGCAGTGATAGTAAGCTTGATAGGGGTGGTTCCAATGGTGGCGACCACAAAAGTTTTGGTCTGTTTGTTGAGAACCATCACAAGAGTTGCAGGTGCTGCAGCAAGAAATGCCAGCAATGTAAGCACCAGCAAGCTCCATATTCCTTGGGTACGACCAGATAAACATGGCCAATTTCTCTCCACTTTGTACAGCCATTGGAGGAACCAGAGATAGGTAGCTAGACTTGATGGAGGTTTATCCATTTATAAAGGGTTAATTAAATATCGTGGGATATCACGAAATCAAATGGTTGAGTCCAACAATTAATCAAATTAAGGCTGGGTGGTGTAACCAATAACCATCCACTTTTACCACTTTATATAATATTGGTGTCGGTAGTTATGGATTTCTTTTTCTTTCTTTTTTTGAAGTACATCAGTTGTGAATTTTTTTTATCACTCGTATTTAGTACCCTAAATATGTGGTGTGGTGGAGAAATTGTCATTTGCATGAATATAATATAACGTATCACATGAATCCGTGATACGGTCTCATTGATAAAAAAGAATGTTATTTTTCTTGAAGATTTTAAGTTCGAATAGTTACCTCTACAAGGTATGTATTGTCAATTGATTAAAAAAGTTCTCAATAAATTTTACTTCATAATCACTTTAAACTACTAAAAAATATATATAATGTAACACATAATATATATGAAAATGTTCATTAAAATATATACTACTATTTGGAAATTACGGAAGAATAATTATGTTTTTTTGTTAATTTTAATTATTATTTTTTTGATAATTTTGATTTTTTTTATAGAAGATTAGGCCTCATTAAAAAAAACCCTTCATACCCTCCATATTACAACAGTAACATGAAGGACATTAGAAGGAGGAAAAGGGTGTATGAATTTTATTAATCAGAACAATAATACACTGTCAGTACCAAACATCCTGCTGTTACACCATAACACTGATTACATAAGACTGAAAACAAGCTCCCTACATTAATACAAACATTTCCCTACACCATAACACACCAAACACATAACCTATTAATCAACCTATAACATCTTTAGCTAACTTGTCCGCTTCCCAATTGGAAGCCCTCAAGATATGCCTTGTAGTAATATCTTGTCCTTCCATACGAGAAGTTATATCCTTCACCAAGGACTGAAACATAGGGGTGCATAAATTCGGATTTTTAATCCACTTCAATGCAGTAGTTGAATCCGATTCTAGAATAATCCTCTGATTAAGAACAGATCCTGATTCTTTAAAAAGATACAACCCCCTTTTGATCGCCAATAATTTTGCCAGAATAGGAGGTCCACCCTAATCTTTTCTGAGAACCACTCAAGCAACACACCTCTGTTATCCCTAATCAGTCCACCTATACCTCTTTTATCCCAAACCTTCACCATCGCTCCATCAACATTAAGCTTTATGAACCCATCCAAAGGAGGAGCCCACCAAGTTGAATGAGAACAACCCGTTTTCTGTCTTCCCACCGATCTAACTAATTTTATATCACCCACTAAGGAGTCGAAAAGGATATGCACATCATTAAATCTAGCACCAAACCAAGAAGCTATTCTAAATCGAACAATAAAGAACAACATCACATCATCCACCTTCCCTTTCTGAAATATAACCTCATTCATGCATTTCCAAATCCTCCACAACACCGCCCTTGGAATGAATTTCCAAATAATGGATTTTGGAAGTAGATCATCCCACACGAAATCAATTATGTTATTTGAAATCACAAAAGAAACATTCCAAAAATTCAAAAATCTAGACCACAAACCCCATATTACCTCACAATACAAAAAAAAAAGATGTGAAAATGTTTATACATGCCTACCACACAACAGACATAAGGGATCATCAATCCCAGCCACTCCTCACTTCAACAATTCCTCCTTAATCGCCACTCTCTGATATGCAACTTGCCAAACAAAAGTTTCCACACGGGGAGGTGCTACCCCTACCCAAATATGTCTTTCCCAAGTATCATGATTCCCCTCATTACAATCCGGTCAAAGAAATTGTTGAAAACATTTTGATATTTCGATATAACAAATTAAGTTAAATGAATTTTAAGATTTTCTAAAAGATTTTCCGAGTATATTCGATATAATTATTCAAATAACAAAATATGACTCCAAATCTTTCAAATGTCATTTTTAATCCTTACTCAAGTGTAAAATTAAGTTTTAATCTTAAAATAATTTCAAAACAATTTTACAAAGTATTTCGAACTGTTTCAAGTCAAAAATTCCAGATTGTCTAGAGGGAACCGATTCCCCCTCCCCCCCCAAGGGGGAACCGATTCCCCCTCCCCCCCAAGGGGGTACCGATTCCCCCCTGATCAACGGTCAAAATATTTGAATTTTACACTTAGTGAACCGATTCCCTATGAGGGGGTATCGATTCCCCCCACGCTCCAAGCTGTTTTATTAATTGATTTCACACTAAACGGCTCTATTGACTCCACTAATCATCCCCAACGTTCAGAATCATTTGAAGGTGTATTTAAACAAGCTTAGAAGACATTGATCAACAACAAGAAAACACAAGAAACAAGAATCAAGAGAGAATCAAAGAGAAAGCATCAAAACTCAAGTTTGAGCATTTCAAGCCTATTTTTCATTCAATATTCATTTTGCTTTCAAGAACACTACTTGTACTCAATTGTATTCATTTTTTAGTGTTCTTTTATTTGTTATAGAATTGTGCAAACAATCTACCTTGTGAGGATTTCCTTGTAAGTTTATAAATTTGTAATCTTCTCTTTGAGAAAGAGTGTTCTCAAGAATTGAGTATATTCTTGAGGGAGTTGTAAGGTTATCTCTTTGGCCTCAAAAGAAATAACAAATTAGTGAATTTGTTGGAAAATCCTTAGTGTGGATAGTTAAGGTAGTGGACGTAGACTTTGGTTGAGAAAGTCGAACCACTCTAAATCGTTGTGCAAATCTTTTCAATTTTCTGCAAAAGCTTCCACCAAAATTTTAATTGCCAATTCACCCCCCTCTTGGCCAATTCCATCGATCGATTAACTCAACATAAATTATTGATACATGATTTGGTTGAAAAAACAACCCTTTCCATTCCCTAACCATATCCAACAATCTTCCTCATAAGGTGACAGATTGATATTATTCAACAGAGAAATCAGTTGTAGTCATTGTTCAACCTCCCAATCCACCAAATTCCTTCTCATTTGAATATCCCACACCCAACCCGAAGTTATTCACCCTAAACTCTACAATTTTACCCATTTTATTGTTTGAAAGAGCAAAAAGTCTTGGGAACTGATCTTTAAGGGGAACTTATGCCAAAACTCCACTAATTCTCCATTTTCAGTTTTCAAAAGCACATTTTTTCTAAGACAATCCCCAAAACCATCACTAGAAAAGAAGTTTTAAACAGCTCCTCTCCAAATCCAAGAGGCACGTGTTGTCCAAGTATTCTCAATCATATTGGAGTTCGGATCCAAGTTGTACACACAACACACCACCCTTCTCTACCAAGAACCCTTTTTTGAAGCAAATTTCCATACCCATTTCCCCAAAAGAACTCTGTTCAAAAATAACAAATTCGGGATCCCTAGACCCCAACCTTTTTGGCTTACTAACCAAATTCCAATTCACCAAGTGAATGTTCCTTATATCTGTCGAACCCCCCAAAGAAAGGAAGTAATGATAAAGTTTAATTTCTGTAACACAATACATGGAATTCGGAAGATAGAAAGAAAATAAATATGGAGAAAGCACAACACTGATTTTACCAACACCACCCTTCCTGCTAACGATAAAGAATTTGCCTTCCATCCAGTCAACATGTTGTGAAATCTCTGTACAATTGGCTCCCACAATGTAACAGAATTTCTCTTGGTCCCCAAAGGTAAGTCTAAATACTCTGTTGGAAAATAAGCCACTAAACAACCAATTTCCTTAGCTCAAGAAGCTACACCTCCTCCTCAACGTTAATTCCATAAATTCTTCTCTTAGCTAGATTTAACTTCAATCCCGCCAATAACTCAAAAATTAACAACACATTTATAACATTCATCAAATCACGAATAAAAGCTTTGCTAAAAGTTATAAGATGATCCACAAATTGCAAATGCGATAACTTGAAGGAACGATCATAAGCCCCTAACTCAAAACCCGAAACAGTCCCATATCCACTGCTTTAATTAACAGTTGTAACAACTCACCACCCAAATTAAACAACATAGGAGATAATGAACAACTTTGTCTTAATCCTCTTGCAGTGTGTATTTTCTCCGTATGTGTCCCATTCACTATAACCGAAATTGATATATGCAAATTGTGCTAACACGATTTTAATTCCTTGAAACTTGTAGATAATAATACTTTTGGAATTAAAAAACCTTGTTAAAACATGTAAGGAATTTTTTAACCCTTAAGCTATCATTACATACATCCTTTTAAATATACTAAATTTCTAACCAAATTATAAGGAATTCTGTAAATCCTAAAACCTTATGATTACAACTTTTCTTACAAATCTACAAAGCTCCTTATGAATAAGACAGACCTTTCGTAATTCTTACGATTTTACTATATTACGAAATTCTTGAAAATCCTAAAGCCTTACCATTACGAAATTCCATACTTTACCAACTTCCCTGTGAATTTATGAGAAAAAACTTATATTACACACGTCGACCCCACCAAAGTATGAACTATACGAAGCCTATGGAATTTCTAATGTTATAGTTTTAAGAACTGTAAAATTCCAGAACCCACTAAGTAGCATTAGTGGTAAACATGAATATTGTTCTCTTTAAAGAACCCGAATTCAAACAGTTGTGTACGTAGGGTGTGTGTATTGTCAATAAACTAAAAAAATCTGAAATGTCTAAGAATTTTTCCCATATTCATTTCTCCCGCAATGAAATAAAGTAAAAACATGGTGCTTAATAGCTGCAAGGCCATATGGGTGACTTTATTTAGAAGAGATGAATCCATATAGCAACCCAGCTGCATGTGAGTTAAATGCTGTTGTACTTTAAAGTTTGCAGACTTTATATGCTCATGTACAGTGGGTGTATTTATAGATCCTTCACATTGCTCAAAATGTGTAGTTAGTTATACCCCTCTACTACTGCGCTAAACTAAATTCAAATTTATCTATTAATTTGTTAGAGGGTGCTTACTTCTATTCCACTCCCATATAGTTTTGTATTGGCATGCAGAAACTTGATGCTGGGCCCGAAGATCGTC